TATATATATATATATATATATATATATATATATACACAGTGTATGTATATAAAAAAATATTTTTTTATTTTTTTATTAACTTTTGTTTTGGTAGAACACACAATCATCCAAGTTAAGTTCTAAACTTTAAATCACTCCTTATCTTAGGTTCTCTGTAATATGTGGATTATCATAAGATAAAACATCCACAGTCGTTGCCAAAAATACAATCTTTTTGTTATGATTGTCTTCATACTCCAGTGATGGATTACATCCTGATTCCATATTCGCTTTTTTTCCCAAAACCCTAAAATAAGATCTGAGCGAATGCTGTCGTGGACGAGTGAAATGGAATCAGATGGAAATCCCAGTTTTATGTTGTGTTTATGTGTAGTAAAAGCGAGCGGCTGTAAGCAGAGGCATCTTTGTGTTTACATTCGGGCCGTGTGCGTCCCAGTAAAGCAGGAGCGTGTGGTCCTGAAATATGCTGTCAGGTTTTTATCTGTTCATCTCTTCTGTTGGATGTTTATCTGGAGAATAACTCATGGATCTGTTTCGGCGGTGGTCTGTTCAGCTGCGTGTGACGGATAGCGTGACGAGATCAGAGCCGTGATACTTTAGATGCCCAGCGCTGAGTGCTGAGGCCTAAATCCTGCCTGTATAACACCAGAATTATATATCAGTGACCATATCGCTATCGGTATCGGTATTGGCCATAATTATGTTTTCTTTGTTTGTTTGTTTGTTTTTTTTCTTTGTTTTTTTTAAACAAACCTATTGCATTTGACCTGTTGAACCAAAAATGATTATTTTATTTTATTTTATTTTATTTTATTTTATTTTAAAGAATTATATGTGGAAATATATCAATGACCATATTGGTATAATATAATTAGTACTGTTTTAATTATCATTGTGATCATATCAGTGTGATCCAAGATTTTTATTTTGTTGTCCATCCAAATCTTCTTTAAAAACTGTTGCATGTGACACGTTGAACTGAAAATGAGATTTTTTAAATGAAGATTATTATTTTGTTTTATTTATTTATTCTTTTTTTTTTTTGTGGAAAAAATGTATTTAAAATTTAAATTTATTTAAAATTTATTTATTTTATTTTTTTTTTTATTTTTTTTTTTGATACTTCACTACACTTCACTTTACTTTAATTAGATTTGGAAATATATCAGTGACCATATTGGCATTGCCCATAATTAGTACTGTTTTTATTATCAGTTTTGGTCTGATTCAAGATTTTTATTTTGTTTTCTGTCATTCACTCATTCCAAATGTGCTTTAAATTTCTGTTTAATTTTTGTTAATTTCAGCAATTCACACACACACACACACGCACGCACACACACACACACACGCACGCACACACACACACACACGCACGCACACACACACACACACGCACGCACACACACACACACACGCACGCACACACACACACACACGCACGCACACACACACACACACGCACGCACACACACACACACACGCACGCACACACACACACACACGCACGCACACACACACACACACGCACGCACACACACACACACACGCACGCACACACACACACACACGCACGCACACACACACACACACGCACGCACACACACACACACACGCACGCACACACACACACACACGCACGCACACACACACACACACGCACGCACACACACACACACACGCACGCACACACACACACACACGCACGCACACACACACACACACGCACGCACACACACACACACACGCACGCACACACACACACACACGCACGCACACACACACACACACGCACGCACACACACACACACACGCACGCACACACACACACACACTGGAGACGCTGTGGTGTGAATGGAGGTCAGCGCTGTAGCTTCACTTGTCTTTTTATATCTGTCCGATGTTTGACGTCTCAGATTCATCTCTTGGCTGAATTTAAACAACACAAGCTCGTTTTTTACCATTTTATTTAAAGTTTTAGTAATTTTGTCATTTGTTTTTGTCATTTTTCTTAGTTGTATTTTTTTTTAAATATGTATTTTTTTTATTACTTCAAACTATTTTATTAAGTTAAACTATTAAAACTAAGCTCAAACTCTTAAAAAGATTTTTATTGAAGTAAAGCTGAAATTAAATATAAATATTACATGAAAAATTAGAAATGTTGCCTTGACAAGTGACTGAAATGAGTTTAAGTTAAAGCACTAAAAGTACAAAATAAAAATTAAAAAATTAAATTAAAATAAATTAAACCTAAATAGTAATAATAATGATAAATAAATAAACTGACAAAAGCACACAAAAGTACAAAAATAAATAAAAAATAAAGATAAAAGCTAATAAAAACTATAATGGCTTATAAAAAAAATAATAACACTGTTTTCAAGTAAAGAAAATGTTTTTTGTTTGTTTGTTTGTTTGTTTTAGTTTTAGTTAACGATCATAGTTTCGTTTTGTCTTTATTTGTGTAAAAGTATTTTAGATTATGTTTGAATTGATGCATGTGATATTCGTGTAAAAGATATTTGGATACTGATTTTTTAATGAAAAAAATATTTTGAATTATTGAAATATTTATTTAAATGTATTAAAAGTTAATTCCTTTTATTTCAAATCTTAATTTTTTCCTGCTATGTGTGTGTGTTGTGTTTGAGTGCGTGAGTGTGTGTGTGTGTGTGTGTGTGTGTGTGAGTGAGTGAGTGAGTGAGTGAGTGTGTGTTTGTGGTGTGTGTGTTGGTGTCCCTCTGTGACTCACAGCAGATGTTATATTTTAATCAGTGATCTGAATGAAAGTAGGGAACTGGATTAATCTCCCATCATCCTCTCTGTCTCTCTGTGTGCAGTGAACGCTGTGTGTGAGATCTCAACGTGTTTTTGTCTGACAGGATGCAGCCCGAGCCGCTGTTTGCCGAGGACGAGGAAGAAGAGGCCGACGAAGATCAACCAGAATGGAAGAAACGCAAGATCTGAGGAGATTTCCTCTTCACTTTTGACTCTGAGTTTGTGGAGTTCAGAGGAACGAGTCTCTTCCGTCGGGATTCTCCCACACGCTTTCCAAACCTTGTGGAAATGGACAGTTTTACGTCTGAATCTGAGCAGAAAATACAAAGTGTTGTATGAAAACTGGTCTTTTTTTGCTAAATGTCATTTACAGCTCATACAGTTGATTCATTATTGTCTGATTTATTATTTTGACTAGTTTTTCTTTTGTATTTTTGTCTTTTAGATTATAAATAAACCCATTGCGTGGCCTGTTTCTCGTACAAAAACACTCTTTTCAGTCTTTTATTTGGCATTGTGGGTTGAAAAGCAAAAATGTGTGTGTTTTACATTCGGTCAAGCTGTAGTAAATAGAGTTGCATATTTATTATTTTTTTGTCAGACCTGAATGAGGTTTTCAGTAGATGTACGTATCGGTGTGTCAGATCAGATGTTTGCGTGACGGTCTTGCATGTAAACATACGGGACATCACATTATCATAACACATTCCTTTCCATCGAATGTCCCGTGTGTGGGTCCCCAAACGACTCCTCGTCTTCCCCCACGAGTCACTGCGCTCTATAAATATTTATTTGAAAAAAATCTTTAGAAACTTCATTTGTTATTAAAGCTCGAGCTCTTCAGGATCTCATTGTGTCTGAGAGAAGATTCCATTCCGTTGTTTGAATATTTAGTTTGTTTTTGTGATTCTAAATTGATTTATATATATATAT